TAATAATAAAATAAATAATAAAATACAATATCGGAATAATAAACTAATAAAATAATAAACTGTTCTATAACAGTAAAGTCTACATGGACCCAACTTCTGATTGCAAATTATCATTTGGTGTTAACTAGTTAATGTCACTTTCATCTTGCTCTAAATGTTCAATACTTGATATTACAAAATTTTTCACATAATTTAATGCTCTTTTATCAAACATGAAGTCTTTACTATCATACTCATGATCAGTCATTATACTTTTATCCATTGTGGTCTTTGGAGTAGATAGAATTTCAGATATATTTTCAAGGTAGCTTTTATTGTCATCCAATATCTTGTAGACAATATCAGGGTCATAATACTCAAGGCATTCTTCATAATCAAATGATTTGTCATCCATAATATTTTCAAAAGTAAAGTTTATCAAAATACAACTTGTAATTTAAAACCAAATTCTTGAAAAAAAAAAAGATATAATATAATACCAGCTACTAGAAACAGTGTATCTGAACAAGGCCAAAGTGTTGTTAATGAGTGTCGCTTATATTTTTAAATGTTCATAATTCAACAGGTATAAATTTATTTGCTGAAAAGAATATACATATGTGTAAGAAATTTTTTTCTATGACTTTACATATACTTTACATTCACATTGTTCATAGTTAATATTTCATTGTTTCTTGTTATATTTCATTGTTCATACCATTGTAAGTGTTGCCTAGATTTTTTTAAATATTTATAATGTAATCCAACAGGAATAGGAACATACATATATGTGGGAAATATTTCTTTCTCTAGCTTTATATATACCCTACATTTGTATTGTTACGTACCATCTAATTGTTCATTGTTATGTAGCATTCATTGTTAACATTTTATTGTTCATTGTTATATATGTGCTATTGTTCGTTGTTACGATTTAGTAATGACTTTATTTTATTTTATATGAATTTGTATGTATAATGCATCATCGCTATAACTAATCGATGGTATAGCCACAGCTGCCTTACTAATTATATTGTATTGTATGAACGATAATAATATCAATTTTATATCTCAGAACACTTATGCTGACTAATGGCTTCAAGAAAAAAAATGATCTAGTTACAGCTTGCCATTGATTGTTATTTTATGCTGCGGCTGCGCCATTGATTATCATATCCAACCAATGCCGACACAGTACTATGTCATGCGAGTCACGTGATACATGCTGTTCAATTAACTTTAGATCAAAGGTCCTTCTAAATCTAAATTAAATACGCAAATAAAACCTGCAACTATATACAGTGGGGTTTCTTGGCTTTCTTTTAAAACAATTTTGTCTTCAGATCTATTTTACTCAAAGAGTAAAGCAAACGATAAATTTCTTTAATAGGTTTTTTTTTAATATGAAAATCGTAGAAAATAATGTGCAAATTTATTATAAACATGCATTAGGGTATGAGATTTTGGGACATATTCACCGATCATTAAATCGATTAGCTAGTTGATTTTCAACTAAACGATTCGGATCACTATATAAATACACATTGCTTATTAACAGATTTACACAGAATCCTGACTAATAAAACTTTGAATCCATAAGATCGACAACAAATCTTAATAACTTTGGATCACAATAACTAAGTTCTGGAACTCATTAACTGATAGGTTTATAATCCTTACTGTCGATATTTCTTATCTAATAGAATCATGATTTTGACAACTAAAATCTTAACCCAAATTCTAAATGTTGATAAAGCATAACTTCTTGTATAAGCAATAAACAAATTATATATTTAACAAGTTTTTTATTCGCTCATTCATTCACACATATTCTCTTTTTACGAATAGAGCAGTTAAACTAAACGCATAAAATTATTTATTACATTTTACGTTATTACAATTTACAAACATTTTATAATATAAGGTAGATATGCCTAATTTGGCGCACCTAAGTTCTACGATGAATATCACGTGACATATCGATCAGAATCAG